TCAAAGAAACATACATGACCCATTCAAGGGACATATCTGGGCGTCCCATTCGAAGGACATGCTTGATGGACCATTCGAAGGACTTACAAAGCCCCCCTTAAGGCATGCTTTGGTGACCCATCCAAGGAGCACACATTTGGCTCCTTCAAAGGATGCACAAAAATAACCCATTCGAAGGACACTTGTTGGAATCAAATAACATTATTGGAAGAAGAATCTGGTCGAATAAGGGTCAAAACGAAAGGATGAAATATTCAAAGATGCTTGCTGTCAAGTTCAGGCCCGGTACACTGGCCAAAACTGCTGCACAACTGTCCTGAAACACTGCCTCATGCTTGCACCAAAATGGCATACAAATACTGCCCCTCGAAAGCTACAAAAGCAGTTTACTCAAATTGTTCAAACTATTTTGTTTTCCCTCCAAAACCTCAACTAAGCTTTGCATATAAATAAGAGGCTCCACAACATGCATAAGGGGCTGGACAACACATCCAGAGACTTGTGGGTGGAACGAATCATCAAAAACTCAAACACTCTCAAACACTTACACATTCTTAAATACCAACCCAGAATCTAAACATTTATCCTCTTCGAATCTGAAACATCCCCACACCTTGTTACCCTTCGAATCCAGTAGAAAGAACATCGCACTTGTTCTTCTCCTTCGAGTCCAGCATTAGAAACGTCACCTAAGTTTCTTCCCTTCGAATCTAGAAGCACTCAGAGCAGCCACTCAAGGTACAGCCCATACGTCCCGGCCTCAAGCAAGGTAAGTCACTATTAACCTTGAACCTTTCGTTGCTAGCATGACATGTGAATAAACTTCATTTTCGTTTCAAACATGTACATAGTATTTGTTCTTCTTTTTGTTTCCACCCTTTTAATTTGTTTACTTGGCTAATCCTTTTGTTTTTGTTTCTTGAGTTATTAAATATGCTTTAAGAACTAAGCTGGCCATAAGATCAATGCTAGCATGGTCTCAGGCCATATTGTTATTTAAAGTCTCAAGTGAAAGAAACATGGGGAAAGAAGTATGAAACGAAGCCTTAGGCTTCCACACTAACCTCCAGGTCCAAACGAAAGAGGCAGCCAGAAGAACGCCCACACTAATTCCAGGCCCAGTCGAAAGACACGCCCAAACTAATTCTAGCCCCCCAGTCAAAGGAGGCAGAAAGGCAGAATCGAAGGCTGCATCTCATGCCTCAGGTTAAGCCCATATCGAAGGGAATGACCTCACTGACTCCAGGCCCAAATCGAAGGAAGCCAAGAAGTGCAAATCGAAGAGTGTAGCTGCCTGAATCGAAAGAGCCCATTTTCCCTTCTTTATTTTATTTTTGCCTTTATATTTTCTTGTTATTCAATATGGTTGTAATAGTGTAGGATTTATTTTTTTGCATTTTTATTACTTTTGTACAATTGCTAGTAAGACAGGGTATGTATGATAAGATAAAATAAACAAGTAGACAATCCCTAATCAAAGACTAAATGCATGCAAATCAAACATATTATTCACATATGCACCCTTAGGATAATCTCACTTGTTGCCTCAGAAAAATAGTCATGTCCCTCGAATATGGGCATTTTAGCAAAGACCCTCGATAAAAGATCGTAGTCCCTCGATGACCCTCAATGTTGCCTTCGGTAAACGATCTAGTCCTTAAACGACATTGCTAAAACGTCACATAGGTTGCCTTCTATGACTATACAAACGTCCCACGCTCGTTCCTTCACATCCAACGATGGGGCTTCTTACCAAAATAATGGTAAGATAACAACATCTAAAGGAGGAGGAAAAGAACATTAGACCTTTTGAGTAGGTAGGGTGCTCATAGTTGCTCGCTTGCTCACAACAAAAACATTTTATACACCAACACATTCATTTGAAACATTTTCAAAAGACAAAGCTCTTTGTACGTGTTCTTATAGAAACGAGAACCATTACAAAGACGTTTTTTCAAAATCACTTTCAAAAACACATTCCACAAACACCTCTTTGAACTATTTTTAAAACAACACTTTGTACGTGTTCTTATAGAAACGAGAACCATTACAAAGACATTTTCAAAATACTTTCGAAACCCACACCACAAGCACATTTTCAAACAAAAGCAAGTGATCTAGCAAGAAACTAAGAGCCCGTAGATAACTACGGATGAAAATGGTGCTAATACCTTTCCTTTTCATAACCTACCCTCCGAACTCAAGAAATAATCTCGAAATGTCTTTCTTGTTCTTTTCAGCCTTTCCTTATTGGATAAAAGAAAAGTCGGTGGCGACTCTTGCTATCCGCAACAATTGCGATCAAACGCAGACACCCAAGTAAGTTCTCCCACCGTATTACAGGAACCCTAAACCCTAGCCGCATGCATCTCTAGAAAGAAAATGACGAAAATATGACCTACTGAAAGCAAACAACGGTGGAAAATTGAAAGCTTGCCAGTTAATAGAAGAAGAAAGGCTGGAAGTAGCAGTTGCGAGCGAAAAATCCTAAGAAACGACGGTGGTTGATGGTCGAGCTATTATGAGCAGTTGAGAGAGAAGACGAAAAACGCTAAACACCCTCCTCCTCTCGTATTTATAGCTGAGGCCATCCGTGCGTGCGAGACACGCACCTGGGAAACCCTAGGATCGTCATTATTACAACCTAGCCCCTAGGTCATCATTGTGCCACTTCGTTAGCACGCTACCCGAAACACGATACCTCTTCAACTTCAAAGCTCCCAACGACTAACTCCTTATCTCCCCGCGAGAAAGGCGCAACGGGCAACAATCATTTCCTCGTAAGACGCGCCCCATTCCACGAGCAGGTGTTAAAGTCATCACTCATGTACCTATAAGCAACGACTTGAGGGGCTATTATTCTGGACTGACCCGACAGCTTGAATGAGATCAGTCTAACCCTTTCTTTTGGTATGGCCCGCACGTCCATGACCCGAACCGCCCGCTCTCTGTCGAGCAATATCGATCCTTTGTCCTCCCAAGCCAGCACTGGCCTAGGACGATCGACAGGCATCTCTCAGCCTGCCCGACACCAAAGTCATGCAGGCCACCAGGAACTGACCAGAGAGATGCCTGTAACTGACCCCCTCCTCGGAATCAACTGCTAGTTACGGGCACATCTGTCCGGTTTGACCAAGTCCTGACAGTTACCTGATTTTACGGACCCGTATATCCAGGCGTAAAATCAGAAATCAATGGGCATGCGCCAAGGGTATTATATAAATCCTCACGCCTGTGAGGGACAGATATCGAATATTCACTATTCACCACCAACACCTTAATACTTTACTTGTATCTCCTTGTTCCCACTCTTACTTGATCGTCGGAGTGTCTTGCAGATACAATCTTTTTTTTCTCCTCGACATCACAACACGACTACATGTCATCTTCCAACTATTTTACAGATTCTGATCAACTGATAATATCAAATTCAAATTTAACAACTTATTTATAGAATTGCATGTCAAACTATTTTTTAGGCGGTTGAACTTAAATGCTGGTATTAATGAGATTTTAAAGATGACGAGTACTTGTTTTCAAAACATCCTATTGCAAACTTTTTGTCCTATTCTTTTTTCCAGACATCCAATAACAATCATTGATAGTAACTTGTTTCGACAAATTATTCTTAACGCCATGGGAAACATCATAACTACAGCTACAATGAGAATATTGTCTCGTTAATTTACAAATCCTATTCCATGGCTGCTGGGGAAGCTTCCTCGAATGATTCCCTAACACACCAACAAAGAACATTCTATCCGCACCCAAAAGCAATGTCGTGGTTGGTGTGGTGGGTCATACCATACTATGAATTGTCAAATATTTAGTGCTACACTCCACCCACATAATTAATTAAACAATAACTTTATATTTTCACCTAAAAAATATTTGTATATATTTTATTAAATATTTTTCACTCATAAACGCAATTAATTATTTGATTTTTCAACTTCTTCAAATATTTCTTAGTTTTTCAAACTTATAAATTTCTTAAAACTATCTCATTTTTATATGAAATTTATAATTTCTTCCGACTTTTTTTATCACTCTTCTATTTTAGAATCCGTTTTATACACTTAACACGATATTATATAAATAAATAAATTTAAAATGTATTAAATATTATTTAACACACAAATTTCTCTATTAAAAATATTATCACATCATCAAAGTTGACTTTAAAATAGATTGATAACTAAATTATACGTAAAAAAATTAAAATTAGGAGACCAACAAATATATTTTTAAAATCCAAAAATCAAATTTAATTTATATTTTAAAAATAAATATATAAAATTAAATTTATTTAGATATGCATTATCAATATATATTAATTTACTTTATAAAAATTTAACTCACTTTTAAAAGATAAGGTGTAATTTTACTATTGTTCAAATGCATAAGTCAAAAAATAAATAAATAAAATTATTTTTTCAAATGTATAATATTTATGAAAAGATTTAAGATTTAATACACTTACAACTATTAAATTCGTACTCGATTTATTTTACATAAGACCATGCACTGTTAAATATAATTTAATGGACTAAATATTTATAAGAGACAATTAATCCAATTAATCATATTAGTTTAAACGACTAAATATTTAAACAATGTTAAGATTTTTGAGCAAAACTCAATAAATAAATAAATAAGGGATTGTCCTACTACTAGGATACTTCCACACAAAACTAGGCATTGTAAGCACAAATTTGATGAAAGTTTTGATACTACAAAAAAAAAAAAAAAACATGTTGGACCACAAAAGTACAAACAAAAAAAAGACAAAGGAATCAAGATCCGAAGTTGACCAAGAAACATAGTAAATTTGAATAGTACTTACTGTATATCTCTGTGAGGTTCCCCGCTGGTGATCACAAACCCAAATTCTGATTCTAACGTAACCAAACCAAACTCAACAAAAACTCCTGTTTCATTCATTTTTCTTTCTTTCTCTCTTCAAATCAAATCCAATCAAATTAACAATATATATTTACATGTACAACAACAACAGCCACCACAAAAAAAAAAAAAGAACGCAGAAACATAAAAGAAAGAAGCAAATTAATAATCTCTCTCAAGGTCAGTAAATCAACTACTATATAGTATACTACTATACATAATCATGATTTCATTTACATTCAATTATATTTATCTTCTTTTTTTTATTCTGATTTTTATTTATTTATACTCGTTAATTACTCGATCCATCTCGCTATTTATTTATTTATTTTGGTCAACTTTCCGGTTTAATTTTTCATTCGGTAATTCAATTTCTTTTTTTTAGACTGTATCACTAATTCAATTCAACATTCAGATTCAAATTTTCTGAATTACCGAATAACGATTTCAGGTTTTTTTATTTTTTATTTTTTATTTTGTGATTTACTCTACCAAGCTTATTGAACAAGATTTCAGATTCCAAACGTGATTATTCGCTGGTAATTACTTTTTTTTCTTAATGTCTTGAAATTTAGGGTTTCAATTTGCTAATCCACATGATAGAAATTGTTTTTTTTTTAAGCTTTGGGACTAACAATTACGTGCATTTTGTTTTTTATAGCTTTCTGATTTTATTTTGCCATTTTCTGCTTCTGATGTTCGTGCTGCTACTGCATTTAATTCAATTAGGATTTCATGCACTTGTGAACACTTTAGCACTGACACTTCTGAAAAAAGTGTCAGTGTTTGTGTCCTTGTTGGACAACAACAGCAACACATGTGATTACGTTTAATTTATTCATTTTTTAAAATTATTATTGGTGTAGACGTGTGAGTGTCTGTGTCAGTGTCATGCTTCATAGCTTGTGGATCTTGCTGCTACTGCCTTTAACTTATGTAGCAGTGCATTTAGATTCTTCTCTTGCCATTTAGCTTATTGTAAATAATTGAGGATTCATGTTATTACTGTTATGCTAGTCCGGAATATTGGGAATTACCTAATAACACTGAAGTACCTTATTGCAGAAGGGAGATTATTGAAGAAGATGGAAGTTTGCATGCCTCTCAAATCCGATACTAGATTAAAGCACCGTCCTTTGACCGTTCTTAGGTTTATAAGGGGTGTGATATGTTTGGTGGTGTTTCTTTCGACGGCTTTCATATGTTTAGTATATCTTTCACCGCTTGTAGTTGTAGGATTGCGGCTTTTCAGTGTTCGTTATAGTAGGAAGGCGGTTTCGTTCTTCTTTGGACTTTGGTTATCTATGTGGCCGTTTCTTTTCGAAAAGATAAATAAGACTAAAGTTGTGTTTTCTGGCGATAGTATTCCGATGAGGGAACGTGTGCTGCTTATTGCTAATCACAGAACTGAGGTTGATTGGATGTATTTGTGGGATCTTGCGCTTCGAAAGGGAAGATTGGGGTTTATAAAATATATCCTTAAGAGTAGCTTAATGAAATTGCCGATTTTCGGTTGGGGATTTCAGATTCTGGAATTCATTGCAGTGGAGAGGAAGTGGGAGATAGATGAGAAAATATTGCTACAAAATCTTTCAACATTTCAGGATCCCAAAGATCCTTTATGGCTATCAATTTTTCCTGAGGGAACCGATTATACGTACTACCTCAAATCTCTCTCACCTTGGATTTCATCTTTTCATTTCCAACTCTGATCATCATCATTGATAACAGAATAAATTCATTTCAATACCACAAATTGTTTCATTTGACATATGATTTGCTTTTTATGTAGTGAGAAGAAGTGTAAAAGTAGTCAATCGTTTGCGGCTGAAGTTGGGCTTCCGGTGCTGACAAATGTATTACTTCCAAAAACAAAGGGGTTTCACACTTGCTTGGAAGTTCTACAAGGCTCGTTGGATGCAGGTTTTTCTTATAATTCCCGCTCCTTTTATTTTCAATGTTACTTGTTCAATTTGCTGATAAGCTTAAAAAAATGATACGAATCATCATTTTGCTTTTGTCTCAAAAAGCAAAAGATCCAATTATTCAGCCAAGAGCAGGTGTTGGCTCTGTTTCTTGGCGCGTGACCAAAACATCATCACGACACTTAGTTATATCCATGCTTCAATCGTTGCGAATGGATGTTTGGGTCTAAAACTACATTTGCCCCAAAGGGGCTATATAGATACTTTAGATTCAAATGTATTTGTGCAGTTTCTCAATTATACACAAACATACTAGTACTTCACACTTTTCCCTTGCTATGTGTTTGTGCTTTATGTGTGGATTTCTTTAGGTGCATATATAATATGCATTATGTTTGTGCTCCATATTACTCCACAGGAAAATAGAATGCTAGGTACTAGGTGTTCAATAATATTTTGACATAGAAGTGACATAATGTTGCAACTGTCTCTTTGTGTTGCATGCATTGCAATCAGAATCTCATGTATTGATGCAGTCAACACATTTGGTGGCTGTTGAATTAAGATTAGACAATACAAAAAACATGATTCTGATTGTTTAAAAAAAAATCTAAAAGACCAAGTTTGAAATTTGAACTATCTGATCTTAATTCAACGACCACTAGTGTAGTCAGTTCGTGAATGCATCAGATTTTGACTACATGCAATCCAACTCTCCCTCTTGTCTCTTATCTATATTAAAAATTTGTTAAACTTTTTAAGAATGCTAAATTGAAATTTGTTTCTTGATCACATGTAGTATATGACGTAACAATTGCATACAAGAATCAGTGTCCTTCCTTTCTGGACAACGTCTTTGGTCTTGATCCATCAGAAGTACACATGCATATTCGTCGCATTCCTGTAGATGATATTCCAGTTTCAGAAACTAAAGCTGCTTCTTGGCTAATGAATACGTTCCAAATCAAGGATCAATTGCTCTCTGATTTCAAGATTCAAGGGCATTTCCCCAACCAACTAAATGAAGAGGGAATCTCTACATTCAAGTGCCTTCTCACTTTGACCTTGATAGTTTCTTTTACTGCCTTGTTTACTTATTTTACGTTTTTTTCTCATATCGGCTTCAAGTTGTATGTAGGTCTATCATGTGCATATCTTTCTTTTGCAACGTGCTACAAAATTCAATTGATGCCTTTAACAGATTATGTTCATGCATTCTATAACAACAAGAAACAAAAGAATGGATAGATTGATAGTGCTTTCAATTTTTAAGGTCAAATTTACATTTTTGGTCTTGAACTTTATATTGAAGTGTACATTATTTGTTTAGATTGATTCTTTTCATGGTGTTGTTTAGACTTTAAACAGTACCAAGAAATCAAATGTACAATATTACAAGCTGGTACTCTGTTGGAAATTGGTTTTTGATAGAATTGTGAGTGATTTTATTTAGTTATGATTTGTGATACGAAGCACTCGAATAATTATGTATATCGAATAATAATTTGTAAATTTATTAAAGGGTGGAACAACAATTATATTTGCATCCGGCGGAAAGTACATTGTTGATGGAAAAAAAGAAGACAAACAAGATTTGTTGAAATTGTGTTTTAGAAAACACAACCGTTTCGTTTTCTTATTGATGTTCATTTTAAACTGGAATTAGCAGCTTTGTCTAGACTTAAGTATGAAAATTCCCTTCTTGGTGTAAAGCTTGATCAAAACCTTGGTAAGACTTTAGATTTTAGATATCTATGAAAGGTGCTTGTTAATTTCATTATTTTCAACACATTTTGGGCCGGCCAAGCAGCCAAGCGAAAGCGGTCCAACACTAATGGTCCAATCCAAAACATCCTCGAGGAAGATTAGTGGACACGTGGACCCTCGTCAAAAAGCTACACACTAGGTTTGAATCTCTTAATCACCATCAAGCATTGAATTCAATTTAATGGTTTCCTGAACTCCACGTCGTGCCAATTGGGAGTGGGTTTAACCATTAGTCATATATAAATTTGCCTACGCTCTGTAACAGGTACAACTTCATTCGTTTTTGTATAATTTCACCTATCTGACCTCATTGATTAAGGCGTTGGAATGTTAATTTTGCAAACACACCTTAACTCCACCATATTGGAGATTAACACATGCATGTTAAGAAGCTTTACATTGACATGTCGTCAATCTTCTATTCCACACAAGAATAGTGGTACCGTATGTGATAATTGTTTTTGATTCTCATGCCAAATTCATCAGATCCTATCCGTTGCACCGTCTCAACCGCTCCATCAATTGATTAGATTGCCTATAATTTCTTTGAGTGAGAATGCTAACACCCAAATTAACTAGAATGACCTTCCTTCATAACGCTAGCCTTGCGATTGGAGTTGCCATGCCGATTTAAACCTCTGTCACGTTGTTACCTCATACCATCCTCAATTATTGAAGGATTATTCTGCATGAAGGAAACAGTTAAGAGTTAGCGAAGAGAAATTCCTTGGGGCCAAAGACGAAAGATGAAAATGAGGAATCGAAAGACGAAAGGGCAATCCTAGAGTTTTGATAAAAAGAAAAAGTGGACGATGTCCCCTAAAGAAGTGCATTTGTCGGTGATAATGACCAAAATAGTGCATCGTGTAGTACCAAGGCTTTTGATTGATGGTAAAAGGTCATGCAACATCATGTATGACCGTCTCTTCATGGAACTAGGATTAGAAAAAGGAATATTATCTCCCTACAAAGGCTTAGATCTTTAGGCATTCACCCATTTCGTAAGTCATTCTTGGGGCATTGTAGAGTTAATAGTCTCTTTAGGAGAAGGAAAAGACGTAAGGGTTGTAGGCGTGCAATTCTTGGTAGTCCCCTAGAAAAGTGTCTACAACTGCATCATGGAGAGACCTTTATTCGTGACACTCGACATCGTCACTTCGACTGTCCACTTAAAAATGAAGTACCATAACATCTATGAAAAACCAGTTACCATCCATGCTAGTCTATCTAGACCTACACAATATATGAAACACTGTTGAAAGATAAACTACAACAACCCTCTAGTGAGAAAGGAAGGCGAAAAGGGCCACTGCCCCTAACCAAAGTCATGCATAAAGTGGATAATCTTCACAGACCCACTTTATAAAGGCTCAATAAAGATGGGAGTTCGAATAATGAAAGACTATAATGCTCTTCAATATAGTGGGGGTCGTCAGGTCAATAGAAGAAGATATTTGATCGCATTTGTCCCACTGATAGGTGTCTCCCAGGGGCCAAAACCATATAAACTTCCTATAAATAATAACATAATTGATATTATTTCCTTTTTTAGGATTTATTACCGTTATTTCTCAACCGTCTTCCTATCATCTTTCTCCTATGGTCGCTGTTCCCTTCGCCGACTTTTCCATAAATCCTTCAAACCCCTATGATCACCACCCCAATGAAAATCCTTCCCTCATCCTCTTCACACCCCTTCTTGATCATACAAACTACCTTTCTTGGTCAAGATCTATGAAAGTCGCCTTGCTATCGAAAAACAAGCTTCACTTCATCGATGGCACATTTGTTGAACCTGCTCCTGGTCATCTCTTGCATGATCCATGGCTCCGCTGCAACAATATGGTCCTCTCGTGGCTTCCACGGTCAATCTCTGAAAATATTGCGCTATCAATTATGTAGATTGATCAAGCTCACGTTGTATGGCAGAATCTTGAATTTAGGTTTTCTCAAGGCGATATCTTCAAGGTTTCAGATCTTCAAGACGATCTTCTCAATCTTCATCAAGGCACCTTGGATGTTTCAACATATTTCACGAAACTCACTTCCATTTGGGAACAAATCGATTCACTTCGTCCCACTCGCGACTGCACTTACGCAATCCCTTATACGTGTGGAGCAGCTTCTGATCTTCGTAAATACAAGTCTCAAGATCGCGTTCTCAAGTTCCTCAAGGGCCTCAATGATTCCTTATCCACGGTTCGTTCTCAGATCTTTCTTATTGAACCTCTTCCAACCTTGGAGAAAACTTTCTATCAACAATATTGCTGAATCCTTTGATAATGCTTCAGTCTCTCAGCAAGATTCCCAACATTCTCTATCCCCCATTCAACACCAATATCAATAGATTCTCAAACTTGTTCAACAACATTAACTCACTCCTGCTGCACCTCAAGATGCTTCCACTCAACCTGATGTTGCCTTCCCTCATGTCAATTTTGTTACTCTTGCGAATGATGGCAAGCCACCTGTTTATTGGGTAATCGATACAGGTGTTACTCATCACATTACTCCTAATTTTCACAATTTCAAATCTTACTCTTATGTTCCTTCTATTAACATGAAACTTCTTAATGGTAATACTATTGCTACTCACATTTCTGGCACTGTACAACTTTCAAATAGTCTGATCTTATATAATGTTTATTATATTCCTTCATTCCATGTTAATTTAATATCTGCATCCAAACTTATTGATTCCTCTGCCAATAGCCTCACATTTACTAGCACAGATTGGTTTATCTTGCAGAAAACCTCCACGAAGATGATTGGTTTAGCTGAGCGTCATGGAGATCTTTATGTTCTTCAAGATTAGGCCACTCTTCACCCCCTCATTTTCTCTTTTTAGTAGTGATCTTGTTTCTGAGTTTAATGCTTCCTTATGGCATAAATGATTAGGGCATCCCTCTCCCTCTGTTCATAAACTTTTGGCTTCTCAATGTTCTAATATTGTTTACTGTTCTAATAAAGATTCTCCTTGTCATTTGTGTGCCATTTATCAAAGCAAAAATGTTTGCCTTATACTGATAGTCTTAGTAACTCATCTAAACCCTTTGATATTCTTCATGCTGACATATGGGGGCCTTATTCAACTCCCTCGATTCATAACCATCGTTACTTTCTTACGCTTATGGATGATTACACTCGCTTCACTTGGGTTATTCTTACGACTCATAAGAGTGAAACACGTAAACACTTACACAATTTTCTTGCCTTCATCACTAATCGATTTTCCACAACACTCAAATGCTTGCATAGTGATAATGGTCAAGAACTTTTAATGAATGATTTTTATGAAACTAACGACATCTTGCATCAAAGGTCTTATGTTGAATGTCCTCAACAAAACGGAATTGTTGAACGAAAACATCAACATATCCTTAACGTTGCAAGATCCCTTTTATTCTAAGCCAATCTACCAAAAAATATTTGTCACCTTTCTGTCATTCATGCTACTCACTTAATTAATAGACTTTCTTCATCCCTTTTAAACAACAACACGCCTTGTTTTTTTACTTCACAACTCGCATCCAGATTATTCGATTTTGAAATCCTTCGGTTGCCTCGCCTACGCTTCAACCCTATTGCAAAACAAAACTAAGTTTGATGCTCGCTCTCATAATTGTGTTTTTCTTGGCTACCGTCAAGGTACTAAAGGCTATTTACTATATGATTTTGTGACTAACCGTTTCATTGTTTCCAAGAATATCACCTTCTATGAGTCCTATTATCCCTTCACCAAAACTCATGACCATCGCCCTTTGCCTCCTATCACTACACTCTATCCCACAACCACTGACATTGAACCCCTCAATGCCACACAACAGCCCTGCCCTCCTGATCAACCTCAACCTACCTCTCCACCCCAAAATCCTCCCACTCTCCCACTTTCCCCTGCTGCAAACACCATCCCTCCCATTCTTATTCCATCACCTCAACCATAAAGAAAATCTCTTAGAACTACCAAGAAACCTTCTTATTTGTCCGATTACCACTGCCATATCCTCAATCGCACCACCACTTCCCCATCCACCATTCCCAAATTTCCTATCTCATATGTTTTAAACTACAACCACTGCAACTCGAAATATAAACAATTCTGCCTTACCATCTCTTCCAACAAGGAACCAATCTCCTACACCCAAGCATGTAAGCAGGATTGTTGGTTGCAGGTTATGCAATCCGAATTATAGGCACTTGAGCTAAACAATACTTGGACTGTTGTGGACCTTCCACCCAACAAAATTCCAATTGATTGCAAATGGGTTTACCATATCAAATATCTCGCTGACGGTTCTATTGACAAGTATAAAGCATGCCTCGTTGCGAAAGGATATACACAACACGAATGCATCGACTACTTCGACACATTCTATCTCGTGGCTAAGTTAACCACTATAACAACTCTTTTATCCTTAGCCTCCATTAAACATTGACATCTAGAACAACTAGACATCAATAACGTCTTTCTTCATGACGAGTTACATGAGGAAGTCTACATGACAATTCCTCAAGGCTACACTACTGCTATTTCATCTCACCATACCAAAGTCTGCAAGTTAAACAAAAGCTTATATGGCCTCAAACAGGCTAGCAGACAATGGTATTCTAAATTATGTGATACCTTAATATCATTAGGTTATAACCATTCACATGCTGATTATTCTCTTTTCATTAAACATGCTCCTACTAGTTTAACTGCATTACTTGTATACGTAGACGACATTGTGTTAATGGGTGATAATATCAACGAAATCAAGCATGTTAAAGCCATTCTCAACGACAAGTTTCGCATCAAGGACTTAGTTCCCTTGTGCTATTTTCTTGGCCTTGAAGTGGCTCGTTCATCAACAGGTATTTTCTTGAATCAACGCAATTACACACTAGAACTTCTCAACAACACAAGAATGCTCGCTTCAAAACCTTGCTCTACTCCATATAATTTATCTATTAAATTGGCTGCTATTGATTTTGCACCTTTTAATGATCTAACGTGTTATAGACGCCTTATAAGATCAATTAATTTACCTCACCACCACCCTTCCAGACATCTCTTCTGTTGTACAACAATTGAGCCATTTGTTTCCAACCCTTCAACTAATCACTTCACAGCTGCTACTAGAATTCTTCAGTATTTAAAATCTAATCCATCACAGGGATTATTTTATCCCGCCTCTTCTAATTTCATTCTTTCTAGTTTTGTAGATAGCGATTGGGAGACTTGTCCAACCACGCGTAGATCAACTAATGGCTTTGCTGTTTACTTGAGCAAATCTCTAATATTATGGAAATCCAAAAAGCAAACTACCGTTTCCAGATCAAGTTCCTAAGCTGAGTATCGTGCTCTCGCTGCCCTCACCTGCGAAATTCAATGGCTTCATTATCTCTTCACAGATCTTGGCATCCAGTTCAACAAACCAACATATGTATACGGTGACAACCGCTTCGCTGTCTACCTCGCACATAATCCAACCTTCTATGAGAGATCCAAACACATCGAGATCGGCTGCCTCATTCGGGAAAGACTTGAAGCTGGCTTCATCAAATTATTTTCCATCTCTTCATCTGCACAACTTGCTGACTTTTTAACCAAGCCCCTTCTTACACCTGCTTTTTCTACTTTTCTGTCCAAGCTAGACATTTCTCCTATCCAAAGTCTAGCCTGTGGGAGAGTAATCAAATAATTGTTATTATTTCCCTTTTATTAGAATTTATTACAGTTACTGTTGCCAATGTGTATATATATATATATATATATATATATATATATATATATATATATATATATATATATATATATATATATATATATATATATATATATATATATATATATATATATATATATATATATTCGAATATTCCTTCATGTAATTGCTTTGTACAGAAATTTAATATCAATTGAGACATAATGATTGGTACCGTTCCATTCTGACAATAAAGGCTTAACAAAGACTTTAAATTTATGTGCATTTCTAACTAAAAACTCTTTCACTTTCGATAGTCGTTAACCTAGGTGTTAGAGTGTTTGCAAGTATCCTCAATCGCTAGACCGGAACAAAATGAAACAATTTTTTCACTAGAGTTTGTCATCTTACCCATATTCATCACCTCATTTGTGAACTTGACCGGTCTTTTCAAAACCATGAACAAATACTTCTTCAATTTGAAATCATTAACATTCACATTCACAAATTTTATGAAAATTAATTTTTAGACTAGAAAATAATTCGAATGATAGAATAATTGCTTTAATTATTTGAATGTTAAACCAACTTTTTGTGCTCGCAAATAAAATATTATCTGTAAATTGTAAATGAAAAATTATAATCTTTAAACTATCACCAATCTTTTAACTCTCAAATAAACTAACCTCGTTCAAAAATGTTATTATCACACTGTCTTCTATTGCCAATAGAAAAAAATGATAATAAATTACTTAGGATACATTATTCTTAAGGGTGGTAAAACGGGTCATTTCTGTCGTGCATATCCATTTTACTCGTTTTTTTAAGTGTATTAAGATTTTAGACATGTACCTTTTACTATATCTATCTTGTTTTTGTGGACTTTTGTGAGTGCAAACGTTAACATGAAATTTTCATTTTCTAAGTTTTATGGGTGTAGAGTTTGTTAAGTCCACCATGTGGGCTCTCATTTTCTTGCATCTTGAGCCCACCATATGCACTCTCATTTTCTTGCAATGTAATTTAAAGTTTTTGACTCGCATCTTCTACTATATTCACATTAATATTCTTTTTCTATGACTTTCTTAAAACACATTTAAATTAGTTTTTCATTTCTCCGCTTTCTCCTCATAAAAAAAAAAACTAAATATTTTTTAATATGTGGAATATTTTAAAACAACCATTGAAGGATATCAAATCAAATCATAATAAATCAGGTTCAACTCCGTACAAGGCAAGTAAAAAAACAAGTCCAAACAAGGCGTGAAGGCAAGCAAGAAACAAAACAAGGCATGCAATCGTTGTGAATACAATACAAGTCCCATTAAAAGATGACCCAAATTCTTAAATCTCTCACATAAAGATAGTCTACATTTATTTAACCAAAGTTATTCACTATAAATTCAGTTCCATATTGCCCCAAACTTTCAAATTTCAACCTCTCACTCCAATCTTTCTTACATCCCAACTTCTCAACCGTCCTTCTTTCCTTTCAATTCATGGCTCTAAATTCAAACTCAAAAGCCTTTCTTCTCTTCAACATGCTCTTCCTATTAGGTAAACAGCATTTCTCTAATTATTTTTTTATAAAAAAACATTATAGTTTTTTATTTATGCAAGAATACAATTTATTTATTTTCAGGTAATATAGCATCTGCTACCGTATTTACCATACAAAATCAATGCAGTTACACAATTTGGCCGGGAACACTTTCCGGAAACGGCGCAGCCGTTCTCGGTAAAGGTGGTTTTTCGTTAGCCCCCGGTGCATCGATTAACCTAACTGCACCGTCGGGCTGGTCGGGACGTTTCTGGGCTCGAACTGGTTGTAAATTCGACGGTGCAGGCAATGGTGAATGTACAACCGGGAATTGTCCCGGTGGATTAAATTGCATAGGAGGAGGTACTCCACCAGTGACATTGGCGGAATTCACCATAGGATCAGCCGGTAACGGCGGTAAGGATTTCTACGACGTGAGTTTGGTGGACGGTTACAATGTGGGAGTAGGCATATGGGCTAATGGAGGAACCGGTGACTGCCAATATGCCGGGTGTGTTACGGATTTAAATCGTAACTGTCCGACGGAACTTAGGGTGAGTGGCGGTGGCGGTGGAGGTGCTGGTTCGGTTGTGGCGTGTAAGAGCGCGTGTTTGGCGTTTAATACGGAGGAATACTGTTGCACCGGCGAACACTCGACGCCGGAAAGATGTTCGCCGACACGGTATTCGGAGATATTTAAGAAAGCGTGTCCAACTGCTTACAGTTATGCTTATGATGATGCTTCAAGCACTTGCACATGTTCTGGTTCTAGTTACAGGATCGCGTTTTGCCCCAGAGGATCATCGTGATCAATAGTCTTGTTATTGTGACATATGTTTTTTTTTCATGAAAACTGTGACAAGTTTTCTACCATGATTACTTTATAGTATTGATTATTTGAGAATTTGGGAGCAGATTATGTATTCAGCAGATAAGCAATATTCTTTTGAATAACAGTTTCTTTTAACAAAAACAAAATGAAATTCATTCATTGATATGATAAAATAAAACAATTTAGAATAAAATCACTAATAAACTTACATCATTCGGATTCATCATAGTATAAAATAATATACAATGACTATAAACATGATAAAATTAAAGTATGATGTCTTTGAATATGCCTTAAAGATGATTGGATAATAGATGAACTAAACATAATTACAATTCACAACAACCAAAGATAAAATATATTATTTTCGAATATGAACTAAACATACACTACAAGAAAAGGAAAAGAAAAAAAAGAATTTTTTTTACAGTAAACATCAACATTCAATAGATGAAACAGAAAGAGTATAAGTGAAGTGACAAAGTAAGGATATTTTCCATTCTCATACTAAAATCAACACTAATAGTAAAACCTACCAAGATTTAGACAACAATAAACTTTGAGAAATTAAAATTTAATGGAGTATTACCAATTCAATTTCTTAATCTTAACAATTAAATAAACATTTTCCACAAAAGATAAACGAGTTTAAGAACCACAGTTCGATTATATAGGTTCTCTAAATTGATTAAATTCACCATCTATGAAAGAAGTATTTATTGAAAGGAAGAGAGAGTCTGAATAGCAAATACCACACTTAGATATTTATTCAAAAATCCATTTTATTTTTGGAGAAATTCATCAATCACCTTAAAGACACACTTAAAATAGGTTAAATAAAATCACAACACATACAGTTGAATCAAACATAAACAGAGAATAACGATAAATGAAAAAACATTAACAAATACTCAAACACCATATCTCAACAATTTTAAAATTTCTGGTGGTGGAGGTCTTTTTCCATGATGGTTGTTTCAAAACTTTGACCCATTGATTGGTGAAGACGAATTTGAATTTGCGATTGCGAGCACCTAGTGGTTGTTGGCAGGGAGAAGAGAAAACATGATGGAGGTTGAATGTAGAATATGGTAAGAAACCAATAGAGATGGATGATTCAAAGGAACGGATATGAGAGAAGAAAACTCCACAAAGAGAGAAAAAACTCCACTAGGGAAGAGGAGGAGAGGAGCTCCGAAATCGGAGGAAAGGCGGCGCTCAACCACATAGTGATTCCCTAATTTCAGAGAGAGGAGAGAGCTTCTCTCTCTAAACATCATGAGCCGTAAAAAAAATTATGCTTAATTGCAACTTTGGTCCCCCTGTTTAGCACTTTTCTTGATTTTGGTCCCTCCACTTTTAAATTCACTATTTTAGTCCTTTTTTTAGTTTTAACGTGTATTTTGGTCGCCCTTCAAATTTAGGTGCGTTTTTGTATGACCTTGTATTATTTTTTATGATGTGTCAGTTCCATGTCATGCAACTATTAATATAATTCAATTTTTTTAATTTCATAATTATTTTAATGTTTATTTTATGAAAATAATATTATATTAATATTGAAATGTACATAAACTTTAATCACCCCACATCTATCCTCATAACAGCGCCTCCTTCTTCCCATTGTCTTCTTCTCCGGTCTCATAAACCCTTCATCCGTTGTTTCTTCCCATCGTCCTCTTCTTCAGTCTCCAAACAACTCAGTATTTATAACTCCTTCCACGTCTCCTTCACCCATCAGGTATGTCTGAAACAAAATTTTCATTTGCCTCAACAAATCAGTCTGGTGCAAGAAGAAGAAGGAGTAGATGTTGGTGTGGGCTTGAGTCTCCATTAATGACGTCATGGACCTACAAGAATCCAGGAAGAAGATTTCATGGTTGTGGTAACTTCAAGGTGTTGAAGAAAAAAAGGTTGTAATTACTTTCAATGGTTTGATGAAGACATAAGCAACAGAGAAAAAAATTTGATTAGAACTTTGAAGGATAATAATGACGAGATTGCAGCTTTACTTAGGGACAACAAGAATAATGAAGATTTGCTTAAGATGAAGAGTTGACGTCTTATTTTATTGGTTTATATATGGTGTTTGTGTTATTAATCGTGTTTGCATTGGTTCTAACATATGCACTTAAATGAAGTTGGTTGTAGGGTATTAACTGAAATTAGATCTGATGTAATTTCTATTCTTGTACTTAAATCATTATTTTTTATAGAATGAAAATTGACATAAGTTTGCTCTAAGCCTATGTACTTTAATCGTTACTTTATCTGCAATTGTGTCTATTGCCATAAGTTTTCCCAAATCGTTACTTTATCTGTAATTGTATCTATTGCCATAAGTTTGCCCAAATTGTCACTTTATCTGCAATTATGTCTATGGCCATAATTTTCTAATGTTGTGTAATAAAAATTTTGTTATAATTTGACCATAAATAAAAACTTAACTATTTCACAAACATGTAATAACTTGTAACCATAGTTTTCAAAACATAACAGTTTAACAGCATAACAGACTACCAGGACAATAACTTAAACATGACCCTAAATGTTTTAGTCATATTACAAAAGAAATAACAAACAACATAAAACAAACTACAACATAACAGAGTGACTATTCTTGGGTTGATGGTGGTGCTTGTGATCCTCCTACAATTACCGTTTGTCCAGCCACTTTGTCAACCTTTTTTTCTCCTTTTTATTGCCACCTTTAGGAACCACTCTCTCTGCTGCTCTCTTCCCTTTACATGTTTGCTTGTTATGGCCAAAGCTACTACATTTCTTGCACTTGACAGTTTGAAGACTTCTAGGCAGTGTATTTATTGTTCTTGGTTCATCATTTTCCTTGTTGCGATTCTTCTTTGGTCGACCAATAGACCTCCTCATGACTGGAGGGTTAATTGGGTTAGTAACATTAGCAAGCCATAGTTGTGGGCCATTAGTTGGCATAACGATATGGTCGTAAGTTGCCAACACAGTAGACTTCCTATTCACATAAAAATTATGCAATAGTAAGTTAACAGATTATAACTAATTAACATAATATGAGAAGTAGTGTTACCTATAGAACAATGAAACAAAATGTCCAGGCTCTTTCTTAGCATACCATATGCAAGCGATAGCATGACAACATGGGATTCCGGTTAAATCCCACTTCCTACAACTAAATCAGCACACTTAATTTTAACAGTAGAATTTGGATTTGACTTTAACAACTCCTTAGCATAACTCTTAAGATGGTTGAACTGATCTCGACCGGCATCTTAAATTAACTTTATAGCTTTTGTCTTGGCTCTATAAGCTTGATGGCTTAACAGCTTCACACCCCATCTCCTAACACCTTCTGCAATCAAACTTTTGTTCTTCATTTTAGGAGTGTGTCTTAGGGTATCCACAAATTTGTGAGCTAACCATTGTATTGTCGCTTGTCTATTCTTGGTTGTCCTATGACAAGTATGTCGATCAGCAAAGCTAACAATTTACCAAAATTGGATGATAGACCTCATGCTAAACCTAATACGAAATGGACAACCTATAATACATTTGGCAACCACTCTCTTCTTGTCATTTTTCATGATTTTGAGACTCTTATTGTTCTCCATAGAAAACTCCTTAATGGAATTTCTTATTTGCTCTTTATCCTTGAACATCATTCCTACTTCAAGTTTTGTATATCCTTTAAAAGTTGGAAACCTTTCCATATCAACTTCGGCATCAGTATCCAGTAGAGTATGAAGCACATCTAAATCACAACTTTCATTATCAAAAATATCATTCATCCTTAAAGGTTTTTCTGTTGTAACTGTTAGGGAGAATTGTCTTCCAATCAACAACAACATCCTGACCTAAATCCAACTCATCTAAGTCAACTTCTTCATCATCCTCCTCCTCATCATCACTGCTCAAGTTATAATCTAGATTTGTTTCACTATCTTCAGCTGAATTTTCAACATCAGTAACCACTACATTTTCCTCCTCACTAACTTCTTCTTTATTAACCTCTACATTTTCATCTTCACTAACTTCTTCAGTAACCTCTACATTTTCTTCTTCTCTAACTTCTTCAGTAACGTCCACAGTTTCTTGCATAATTTCTCCCTCACCATTAACCTCCACAGTTTCTTCAACAGTTACTTCCTCCCTATTAACCTCCACATTTACTCCCTCACCATTAACCTCCACAGTTTCCTCAACAGTTGCTCCCTCCCCATCAACCTCCATAGTTTCCTCAACATTTTCCTCCACATTTCCTCCCTCCCCATTAACCTCACCATTACCTCCCTCCTTAAAAGTAACATCATCAATACATACTTCTTCAACTTTGTGTTCTACATAGATGTCAATTTGTTTAAATCCTCTAACATCTTTCACGAACCTTAACACGTCGTTGTCACTATTCAAAGGCCGAAGTCCACGTGAAAAGGAAAAGTTGGGATTCCAATACCATATGCACTTTATGTTACAATACCCCTATGCTTTGATCAAGTCTTTAATTTGCATATACGATAGGAAATCCACGTCCTAATCCCAATCCATTTCAGTAACAACCTCACCAACATACAACTTCATTGGGTTATCTACAAAACGTCCCCGCTGATGTAATCTCAGTCTGACAAATTGGGTGTCGGATGTCCTACAATAGAATATAACATAGATTCACAAAGATTCATAAATATTAGGGACCACTCACAGACATTAGAGACCACAACATAGACAAATCACATAAAATAATTAGTAAAGGCAATAAAATATAAAGAAATCGGGGATGGGACCACAACAACAACATAAAGAATATTGGGATAGGACCACAACATCAAACAGAAATCCTGACCTAAAACCACAACATCAACATAAAGAAGAGAGGCAAAGACAACGACACTTACCTTATCACGTAGTTTGAATTTTCCATTGATGAGTTGCACGAAGAGAACGATGATTTGCAATAGCGATTTAGGGTTCTTTGGTAACATATGAAGA